TGATTTGTGTATATTGTAAAAAGTTCAAGATTATGTTGAAAATGCTATGGAATAGATAGTGAGCAATTCTCTATAATATGTGCTGTACTTAATTTCAGCTGGAGTGAGTTTTCGGGGGAAAAAACTAGTGGTTGAAGATGTTTATCAAATAACAAATGCAAAACAGATTCAAATAGTCACAGAGGCATCACCCATTAATGACAACCGCTGATTAGGGACATGGTAACCAAGTACATTTCATTTTTCAAAGCGGCACTTGTTTCCGCTGCTGTCCAAAGACATTTATTGTTTTTGTTAGGATTTTTCAAAAGAGAATGAAATGACACTTGGGTATTTGCAGCCTTAGGCACAAAATGATGATAAAAATTCAGCATTACGAAACATCTCTTTAGTTCGGGCATTGTCACAGGCTTAGGGAAGTTAGAAATTATTACAATTTTTTTCATGAAGAGGCTGAAAACTTTGGTAAAACATAAAATTAACTTTAAAAGTAATATACAAAACTAAATACATGATGATAAGCAGATGCCAAATGCTGCCCACAAAAAGGCAGGAACAGTGAAGTGCAGGTGCAGTGGAATCTCACAGCAAAATGTTCAAGTCTTTATATTCTCACTATAGTGAGTGTGCATGGGTGCAGCACAGCAAACATGGGTATTGCATGCAAATGTAAAAAATGTAAGTACTCCATTACAGTCTCCTGGGAACTCCTGTATTTTATGAATTTGTGTTATGCAAATGAAAGAACAACTATGAAAAATAGAATTAGGTTTTTTTTTAAAAAAAGGTTTCCCCCTCCCTAATAGAAATATGTTTATTTAAGAATAGCTGATCATCAGTATTAGATATTACAAATGTCTTCTCTGTCATGACTACTAAACACCAGTAAATTACAACTTCATTTTTTGGGAGGGGGCATAACCACATTTTCTAAATTTTTGCCAGCAGCATAATAAATTCCGTGCCCTGCCTTTTCCAGAAACTGTTATTTCAACTCTTTACTTTTAGCTGACTTATTTTTAAATTTTGTGATGTAGAAATAGGGGTTTGTGAAGTTCTCTTTTAAATTTTGTGATTCTTTTGGTGAAAACTATTTCAAAATTCATCAATTGTATGCTCCATTTGTTAAATAATGCAGATAACTGAAGCAGTATCAACTGACATTGATAATGTAAATGCATCTACTAATTTAATAAAAGTTTTATTATAATGTATATCATTAAATATAAATTTATTAAATATATGGAAATTAAAGAATTATACACCATCTTCACATTAGAATTCTTTTCCTCATCCTGTCATAGTTATGTGATAATAAAGTAGAAGGGGTTTGATAAAAGTTTCAGAAACTCTTTAAAGGGTTAGTTGTTAAAAAAGTTTGCAGACCTTCTGTTACATGAACGATAAATAAATTTAGGTATTAAAGTTTAAAAAAAAATTCCTTTATGTAACTGAAGAAATATTTCTGTTGAATCATTGCTTTAGTTGCAAAATGAAAAGCTTTCAGAACATGCTTTCCTATGGTTCGTTAAATAAAGATGTGAGTTGTAATTCCAAAATAGTTTTCTTATTTTCTACATTACATTACTTTTCTATACTTTCCTTCTTCCTGTAGTGATTATATACATTTCAAGATGCATTCATATATACTTAAATGTCCTAGTACAGGTATTGTAGGTGTTTAATGTACAACTTGACTGATAGAGCATTTACTTACTGAGAATCCGTACTATTTGTAGCCATGTGATATCAAAAACATTGGTCTGTCATTACAGTCAAAAGTCGTTAATCCGGACTTGTCGGGACTTCGGCGATTCCGGATTATCAATATTTCCGGATTATAGATCATCAGTTTAAATCTGGTAAGATGGCATGCAGAAATTATAAAATTAAAAATATGAAACTATAATTTATGAAATAAAGAACAATTATGATCTAAAGGGTATCAAAACTTACAAAAAAAAAAAAAAGCTTAATATTTATTTGTTTACTTTATGAAACATTTCTTTCAGTGTAAGTTGTTTAAGTTGCTTCGTTTTATGTGATAATACTTTCTCTTTAATTCTATAAACAGACATAATTTCTTGTTCAGTTACAAAGTTCCGCTGTTCGAGTCCTATAATTGCTGTGTCGAGAATACCAACTAATTTGTCAATAGAAATTTTTTCGCTTTCAATAACCTCTATGTCACTTTCTTCACTATCGGAAGCAAATTATAATGACGAGGAATTTGATTTAAATCATATCAAAGACGGAGTACATCTAGATGAAATACTACATTTAGTAAGGAATTATAAGCCAAATAAAATAAAAACATCTGCCCTGAAGATAAGGATAGTGCTGACAGATCAACTTCCAATTCATTGCGTGTCGCGGCGTTCCCCCCCCCCCCCCCCCCCCGGCCACAGAGCAGCGTGAAATTGATAAACAGATTTCAGAATGGTTAGAAAAACAAAGGATATGCCTTTATCCATTTTTTGCAGCAATTCCACTTTTTGTTTGATGGACATCGAAGTATACTTTCACTTTGTAGATCCTTTGGGAGCTCCAGTATCGGAAATTCTATTTGACATAATCGAAAGTTCAAGCTTACTTTTATAAAATTGCTCTAACAGTCTGCAAAAAATAATAAGCCGAATCCAATTTGAAGATTAAAGAACAACGCAATCTGCAACATTAACTGAAATAGATAATTAGATAATTTTAGTTTATACCGTCCATTATACATTAAACACGCATGCGTAAACTTATTATGCGTGTGCGCACATGCATATGCGCACCCGTTAAGGTCTTATGTGTATGCATAAACGTCTATGCGTCTATGCATAAACGTCTATGTGTCAATGCGACGCACGTGCAGAAAGTTTGTAGCTTTGAGGTCCGGATTATAGATCATTCCAGATTATGGGTGTCCGAATTAACGACTTTTGACTGTATTATACTTCCTACTCCTGAGAAAACTTTCTGACACTGTTTGCAAAATTTTTCTCTATAGCTATTTATGGCTTTTAACCAAAATAGTTTTCTAAAATTCAGTGGCATTGCTCGCTTTTTAATATTTCTGGCAAAAGGTTATTACAGTCAAAAGTCATTAATCCGTACTCGTCGGGACTTCACCGATTCCGGATTATCCTTTTTTCCGGATTATAGATCATCAGTTTAAATCTCGTAAGATGGCATGCAGAAATTCTAAAATTAAAAATATGAAACCGTAATTTATGAAATGAAGAACAATTATGATCTAAAAGGTATCAAAATTTACCAAAAAAAAAAAAAAAAAAAAAAAGCTTAATATTTATTTGTTTACTTTATTAAACATTTCTTTCAATGTAAGTTGTTTAAGTTGCTTCATTTTATGTGATAATACTTTCTCTTTAATTCTATAAAAAGACAATTTCTTGTTCAGTTACAAAGTTCCGCTGTTCAAGTCCCGTTAATTGCTGTGCCGAGAATACCGACTAACTTGTCAATCGAAATTTTTTCGTTTTCACTAACCTCTCTGTCACATTCTTCATGTCTTTATCCATTTTTTGCAGCAATTCCACTTTTTGTGTGATGGACATCGAAACATACTTTCGTTTTGTACGATCCTTTGGGAGCTCCAGAATCGGAAATTCTATTTGACATAATCGAAAGTTCAAGTTTACTTTTATAAAATTGCTCTTACAGTCTGCAAAAAATAATAAGCCGGATCCAGTTCAAAGATTAAGGAACAATGTAATCATCAACATTAACTGAAATAGATAATTAGATAATTTTAGCTTATACCGTCCGTTATACATAAAACGCGCACGCGAAAATGTATTCTGCGCTTGCGCACATACATATGCGCAGTCGTAAAAGGTCTTATGCGCACGCGTAAACGCCTATGCGCATGTGTCAACGCGGCGCATGTGCGAAAAGTTTTTAGCTTTGAGGTTCGGATTATAGATCATTCCGGATTATGGGTGTCCGAATTAACGACTTTTGACTGCATCTGAAATTGAGAAGTATTGCCTGCTACATTTAAATTTAGTCATTTTCAAAATGTGGCATGTAAACAAGCTGTCGATAAAAAAATATGTTTTTGTGCTTTCCGAAGAAAAATATTTCCATCTCATAATTCAGAGATGTTGTGAAATTAGTGGGATTAATATTTCTAAGTGCAAAATAGGCAGCATTATTAATCAGAAAGGGAAAAATCCATTAAGCATTACTTCTACATCGAATGAAGACTTCAAGCATGTATACCCCAAAAAGATATTTAATACAAAAACACATATGTCTGTCACTATTGTTCTTACTTTCAGAGAAATCTTTCTGACACTGTTTGCAAAATTTTTCTTTATAGCTATTTATGCCTTTTAACCAAACTAGTTTTTTAAAAGCCAGTGGCATTGTTCCCTTTTTACTAGAGCCTGTGATTGGGCACCGTGCTTGACTGATAGCTCCAGTAGAAAATAGCTTTTGGTCAGTAACTGTTAACTTCTTTAATATTATAGCTACAATTGAATGGGGAGGCTATGTCAGTTGCTTTTCCTGAGAGCATGAGGTTAGGTATCCTGCTTGGTTGATAGCTCCAATATTGCAGAAAATAGCATTTTGTTGACAACTGCTAACTTCTATAGCTAGAACTATAACTTCTATAGCTAATATTATAGCTAGAACAGCGGTTCTCAACCTTTTGACTAATGCTTACCATCTAAACAAAATTTAAAATCTTTAGTACCACCACTATAAAGTACTACCACCACCACCACCATTCTTGAACAAAGCTCAGATGACATAAATTTACGAGTGTTAAGAGAAAAAAACTCGATCAGGATGGTTTGGATTTTAATTTTTGAATTTAATAGTTAAAAATACTTTGCTTCTTTGTGTACCACCTATTTTTCTCTTGTGTACCACCGGTTGAGAACCCATGCCATAGAAAATCTTTTGTCATTCATAATATTGTATTCTTGAATGGCCAATTATTCTTTATCCAAGTTAAAATTTTTATTTATTTATTAATTTATTAGGGAAAAGAAATTTGCCATATATGGGAATTAGGAGGAGGAACACTGTTTACAGATCTTCTTGAAATTCCTATTAGCTCTAAAACTTTAAAGTAAGTATCAAAGATTTTCATATTTTCTTAATTATATGTTATTAATAGAAAAAATAATACTTTTTGGGAAACTTTCAGATATTTTCTTCATATTTTTATGCTTTAAAAGTCATAATCGGTTGTATTATTTTGTTTTAAAAGCTACATGTGATGGGTAATAAATTTTGATATTATGAGGTTTAATTTTATTTGTAGTCAGTATATAGAAAGCAGTTCTGCTGAACATTATGCTGCTTTTCGTAAAATTAGATCAACCAGGTTTTATTAAGAAGTCTGTGTCTGTAAGTTAGGTTAAAATAACAACCTTAAATATATATTTTCTAAGAAACTCCATTGATTTGAAAGATGCTATAATAGACCTTTCTTTAAAAAAAAAAAACACAATAATAATATTTTTTTTGGGGGGGAGGTTAATTTTATTGAACAAGTGTAGTCATTTTTATAGTCACAGTATGGTTTTATTCTTGTTAGTTGAATTAATTTTGCTGAAGAATACTTTATAGTTCTCTTGTGCATCTAGTTTGCAGTGGTTTAGGTTGAGGATTTGTATATCCAAATATTTATTCACATGAGAAAATGCTTCTCAGAAATTAATTATTGAAATTGTTTCTTTCTGTTGTTAATATGCATTAAACCAACCAAAAAAAGGGGGGGAACTTTGTATTTAACTGCCTGCGATGATTCACAATGTATTGTAGTAGTAATATTTACCTGCTTTACCTAATTAACTCTAAAAAGGGGCACACAGTATGTGATTTAAGGCAAATTATTAGTTAGATGCGCAAATACAATCTTTTTTATGTCTGCAAATGACAATATATAGCAACAATTGCAATTTATCTATTGTAGAATAAATTTTGAAACAAAGGAAAATTGAACTGATGAAATAGCATTATCACACTGATTTCTATGATTTCAAAATGGGACTGAATCACAAAGAATGGCTCTGACATCTACAGGTAGCATATGGATATGAAACTCAATCTCATGCCTCTGTATTCAGGTGGTTTAAAGAATTTTGTACAGGTCAAAATTCTCTCCTGGTTGAAAAACCTACAGGAAGACCTTTGTCAGCTGTAGTCCCAGGATATCTGTCAGCCATATGAAAAATGTTAATCAATTATAATCACTGCATCTATCAAATGATACAGAGAGAACTTAATATTGGATCTACAGTTATACATAAAATTATTCACGAAGAACTGAATATGAAGAAAATTGGTTTGTCATTCGGTTCCCCCTAAATTAATGGAACACCAAAATGTCAGAATCAGTAATCACCAACTGTCAGAATCAGTAATGAAACCCTAAAATTAGTTAATGATGGTACTATAACTTTTGGTGAGATGTACATACCATTTTTTGGCATTTTAATATGTCAAGAAAGTAAATTATGTGACTTAGAAGATGACCCCAAATCAAGAATGGTGAAAGGACAGCAAACAATGAAAAATGTAATGTATGCTTTTTTTCTAAAGCGATCAAGTAAGAGGTTGGAGGACAGTTCAACTAACTCGTTCACCACTAAATTTCTTCCATAAATTCTTTTAGAAGTGAAAATTTGGGGACTCGTGCTTCAAAATGATAATGCATCTTCTCATTTAGCATGATCAACAGTTGAATTTCTTGAAGAAAATCACATTCAAGTTATAGAACATCCCCTTATTCTTCTGATCTTGCTATGTGTAACTTTTGGCTATTTTTAAATCTAATACAAAATTTACATGACTATTATTTTCATTCCAAAGATGAGGATTTTAAGAGACCATAAAAGCATATACAATCAAAAGTCGTTAATCCGGACTCGTCAGGACTTCGGCGATTCCAGATTATCAATTTTTCCGGATTATAGATTATCAGTTTAAATCTGGTAAGATGGCATGCAGAAATTCTAAAATTAAAAATATGAAACCATAATTTATGAAATAAAGAACAATTATGATCTAAAGGGTATCAAAATTTACAAAAAAAAAAAAAAAAAAAAAAAAAAGCTTAATATTTATTGTTTACTTTATTAAACATTCCTTTCAATGTAAGTTGTTTAAGTTGCTTCATTTTATGTGATATACTTTCTCTTTAATTCTATAAACAGACATAATTCTTGTTCAGTTACAAAGTTCCGCTGTTCAAGGCCCGTTGATTGCTGTGTCGAGATACCGACTAACTTGGTCAATCGAAATTTTTTCGTTTTCACAACCTCTCTGTCACATTCTTCATGTCTTTATCCATTTTTTGCAGCAATTCCACTTCTTGTTTGTTGGACATCGAAACATACTTTCGTTTTGTAGATCCTTTGGAAGTTCCAGCATCGGAAATTCTATTTGACATAATCGAAAGTTCAAGTTTACTTTTATAAAATTGCTCTTACAGTCTGCAAAAAATATAAGCGGGATCCAATTCGAAGATTAAGGAAAGGAACATGCAATCATTAACATTAACTGAAATAGATAATTAGATAATTTTAGCTTACACCGTCCGTTATACATTAAACGTGCAGGCGAAAATGTATTCTGCAGTTGCGCACACGCATATGCGCAGTAGTCAAGGTCTTATGCGTACGCGTAAAACGCCTGTGCGCATGTGCCAACGTGGCACATGCGCAGAAAGTTTTTAGCTTTGAGGTCCAGATTATAGATCATTCCGGATTATGGGTGTCCGAATTAACGACTTTTGACTGTATTTCATCAATTCCATGAAATGAATGGCTTCAAGCATTTACTCTATGGAAATTCACCTATAAAAATACATTGATGTTGGAGGGGACTACTTTGAATACACCTAATGTTGAGTTTAATTTGTACTATTTAGTTAATTTCAAAATTTTTAGTGTGGCGTGACTCTCGCACTACAACTACTTAAATGAAAGGGGGGAAAAAGTAGCTCGTAGGCCCCTTTTTGTTATTTATTTTTTTAACCTGTACATTTCTTTGGGAACAAAGATATCAAACTGTTTAATTCAAATAGCATAGCAAATTCAAATCTTCAGTGAAAATCATTTTTAGTTAAAATTAATTTACTCCACTTATGATGTGGTTTATTTGTAGTTTGCATGCCATTACATTGCACAATAGTTATTATACTGCTGCAGTATATCATTATTTACCAAACACATGCTGTGTCTGAAGGTCATAGCATGGCATTTTCTGGTTATAGCATGGTGTCTGAAAAGTTCTACATTGTTACCAAGTGACAGTAAATCTTAGAACTCATTAACTGTAGGTGTATACGTAAATATTTCTCCCTGGAAGAATAATCCGCAATAGGAAAATTCATTGTCATAGATGGTACAAATGCATAGAATAAGGAACATAAAGATACATGTTTACTCAGACATATATTTTGTTATATGTTATTTGATTACAGTAATTTATTCTTTTATAACAAAGAAAGAGGTTAATCAATTAATTGGTTAATTAATTAGTAAAGAAATAACTATATGTTAAATAAATTGCATAATTTTTTAATGTTTGGTTTGAAACGTTTATTTCCATAAATATTCAGAGTTTTAATTTGTACATATTCATTTGTATACCTTTAAAGTTTATTATCATTTTCATGCTCTTCTGGAAGAAAAACATTCACTTTTGAATATGTGTGTAAAATCTGAATAAAAGGGAGGGAAATTGCTTTTAACATTTATATGCAGAAAAAAGTGCTTTTTTCATTTTTAGCTCAAATAACTGTGGTGCTATTTTAATATTTGGGCCCACTAATGGCAATCCTTCTAGCACATTAAGTCACATCAGACAGCCTTTAAAGAAATGCATTTTCTATTTGTTTGACATATGAACCATTTATGTTTCATATGCTTGTTATAGTAATAATGATCATCTATAAAACTTATTTTGAGACCTTGGTGTTTAAAAATATTACATGCACAAATGAGAATGATTGTCTTTTTTAGATTTATGTTAATTTAACAATTGAACAATCTTAGGAAAGTATATAAAAGATTTTCTTGTTAAATAATGGTTTAAGCTTTGCTAAGATTTAAGAAAATTACGAACAAGTAAAATTTAAAATAATAGACATTTTCCTTGTTATATTCCTATGACATATGCTGGTATGTGACATCCTTATATTGAAACGTAATATTAGTATTTTGAATTAAGAGCAGTTATTTAATATAAAAAATTATATTGAAGCATAGCATTGAAATATTTAAAGATCTGGTAACTGGTTTCATGTTCCTTCAGGAGTAAGTTTGATTTAAAATTTTTTAAATCATTTACCTTTTATATGTGGTGAAATCTCTTACAGCTGCCATTTTATTAAAATGGCTATCTCTGAGAGTGACCAATGTTTTCGTTTGACTAATTGGGTACTTGATTAGGTACTTATATTTTAATGACACCACCTTTTCACAGTTTGGTGATTTAAACCACCTTTGCATAACTTAGAACTGAAAAAGTATTTATAGATTACATATCGGGTGTGAGTTGGTGGCTTTCTTGCATTTTTTTAGAAGGATCCCTGAGCTATTAATATTTATCTGTAAACATTATCGACATATGAAAAGGAGACATACTTCAGCAATTTAACCTTTTGAGTGCCATGACTGGCTTTATCCGGCCATCAGATTTTTTATCACTTGACATATATTAGATTATAATTTAAGGTATTTTCTTTTCTTACTTTTTTAATAATGCAAATATCATCTTAATGAATGTAAGTTTATGAAAATAGAGACTAAAATGGGTAATTATACAAATTTAGCTAATAAATGCAGCTCTTCATGACAGATCTAAAATTGTCGGCTGCTCAAAGGGTTAAAATACAAATTTTACTTATTAAATAATGATCACTTGATAGATTAAGAAAATAAAACACATTCTTCTTTGAATCTTTCTGTAATTTTTTAGTAATATTCTTCTCCTGAAGTACACAGTGATCTGTTTTTGCTTAAAAAGTCATCAGAGAAGTGCAGAGACTTGGCTTCAGGTAATCCTTCGCAGCAGCAATTAAATGAGAAAATGCATTAACTCATTGTTTCCTTGAGAAAAGTTTCAGCAAAATTCTGTATGCTTGCAGAAATTTTACTTTATTTTTCCATTGTTGGCAAATTCCACAAGTATGTGTTTTAAAACTAAGTTTAGGGCAAAAAATAGCAGGATTTATTTATAAAAACCATTGGAACTTGAAATACAACAAAAAAGAATTTGTGTGAAAATGGCGGCATTCCTTGACCTGAAGGATAATTATGAGGATGGTTGCTGGAATAATGGTTATTCACATGGTTGCCAGAGTTTGGCACCTTTATAAATTTGGTGACTTCTATTAAGGTGGTTAAATTTTTATGTAAATACCTTTGATTGCAACAAAGCATGCAAGGGTTCCTTAGCAGCAGAGCCTTCATAAAGAAATTTCCAAAGAAAATTTTCTTGTAGTCATATTGCATATGGAGAAGACTATGAAAACCTCATAAAGCCAATCTTTTTGCTAAGAACCAAATCCAGAATGAATCACTAGAGCTTGGTAGTCATACTCATTCATCCATTAATGGGCTTTATATTTATTTCTGAGAATTATGATATTGAACATTACCTATAGTCATGTTCAGTAAGATTACCAGGAAACCAGCCATGGGTGTGTGGTAATTTTAGAAAGGTTTCGTTGTATTTGCACTTAAAGAAACTTTTACAGATTAGTAATAAAATTTTTGTTCAATCAGAATTTTCAATTGGAAATTTGAAATATGTAATTTAAAAAATTTAATAAAATTTTGGTCATCATAAAACTGATTATTGTTTTTAAGAAATTTAGCATTACCTTGAAAAGTCTGTAAACTACCTAAATTGTTGAAAGTAGGAGCAAAAACATATTTTATCATAAATATATTTGTTGAAGATGAATTTCTCCCATGTGTTTCTCTTCTTATTTTCATTTTCCCCACTTCTCATATTTCCTTATTTACATGCTTTCTCACATTTATATTTTTCCTATTGTCTGAGATTTTCTTTTTTTCCCCTTTCTATTGTTAACTATTTTATTCTTCTCTATTAAAGAATGCATTTGAAAACTCAAGATCCCTCATGTTCTGATGTCATGCCTGTTTTGTTCCTTATTCATTGGCCTTTCTGGTTTCTTTGGAGGGGGGGGGATTCTTAAACAAATTCTGAAGTGTAACTCACTTTCAATTTTAACAATTTGAATTATTTTCTCAGGCAACTTTTAAAAGTTTAAAACTCAAAGATAATTTATGTGTATTATCAGCTTTAATGGCTTATTTGAAGTTCAAACTGAAACCAAAAAACATGTTATTCTTTTCACTTTAGAAGCTTAAGTGTTGTGCTTGTTTTGGATCTTTCAAAGCCTGAAGAAATGTGGTATACCATGGAAACATTATTGAATGCTATTAAAAATCGCATTGACAATGTTTTAAATGAATCAGGTGATCCAAATTTAAAGAAATCATTGTACCAACTAGCTAGGAATCGAATTCCTGAAGGTCACGAAGTAAGTAGGAATTTTTTTTTGTCACACATTCAAATGTTATATGCAAAATTTGAAACATATTGCAAGAACAGGATTTAAAAAGTAATAATTTTATGAGAAGGAAATAATTAATAGTAAAATATGAAGCTAAAGAAATGCAATTTTTAATTCCAAGCAAAGTTTTATACTTTTTACTGTTTTTATTCGTATCCATTTTCTATGCTATTTTTCAGTGTTCTACATTTCACATAAGCAGTTTGAAATTTATGTTGAACGGGACAAATTAATCATTAACAAAAAAACCCACCCAATGTTTCAACTAACGTTGAAAGTGAAAAATGGTCTGTAAGAAAACCTACCTAATATTATCTTGCTATGCATCTGCACAATTGCTTGAGGATGATGCAACATAGTATGGAGACTGAAAATCTTCACTGCAAGCATTTTCTTTTTTTTAAAGTCAAATTATAAGTAACAGTTACTTGATTTTGAGTATTTGTCATTTAGTTATTATTAATATTTATTATCTAAGTTAAAATATTTTTTAGATATTAACAGAAATAAAATCTGAGAATCAGCTACCTATTTTATGAAGCCTTTCTGAATGAATAGCTTCCTTCAATGACCATCTATAACAGTGACCAGCATATTTTAGATCATAATTAACTAATAGCATAGAACATCCTGATAATTATAGTCCTTGAAAGGACCACTTTCAGAGATTATCAAACTCATCTGGAATCATCAGGCAAAGAAAATTTTACTATACATAATTTTAAACTAAATTTTATACTTTTAAATTTTCTTAGCCCCCAAATTTTTGTATTTACAATGTTTGGCATATATTATTAATTTTATAATATGTAACTATCATATCTCAGTGTGTTTTTGTCTTCATATAATCTACATACACAATATCTAGATGTAAGTACATTAAATATAGTAAATATCTAATGGTGACCAGTTATTGTAGGCAATCACCTCTGAAGTGACCATCATTTCTGAAATCATAAACATTGTATTGAAAATCATGTCATGTTTTCACCTCCACAGCAGAAGAGCAAAGTTGTTTGGAACCACAGGTGTTAAATAATGATTCTGTCATAAAGAGGTATCACTATATTTAAATCTTTAGCAAAAGCAGAAAATTAATAATTATAAAATTTGAATTTTGTGAATCACAAGAGATATAGCAGAGTTTTGGAAAAGTTTGGAATTGCATTGAATTCCTTACTGACTTTTGTTTATTGACCAAATTTTATTTCCCTTTCATGTGAATTCCTTATAAATCAACTATACTATACATTGTTTAATTTTTATCAGTGAAATGACTATAGGATTTATGCTGAGGCTTCATGATTTATTTTGATAAAATTACCTATCTGCAGCATCTGGCATCCAGAATCAAGCACAGTTGTTAGATGATTGATCTTGCCATCATGAAAGGCGCATTAACAGAATGTCATGATTAATTTGATCTATATGTTAAGAATAATGGAGCCATTTCAGACTTTTGAGATGACCTGTATATTAGCATCGGACTGAAAATTAAGATTTTCATTTAACTGGGAGTCTGAATATAATATTTAATAACTTATCAATAATTTTTTATTCATTTTTGTGTTTATGTGTTTAGGATTCAAGTTCTATTGATCCATTTCCTGTGCCACTTCTGATAGTAGGTTCAAAATATGATATTTTTCAAGTAAGTTTAATTTTATATTATTTCCTTTCATAAAAGTTTTATTTGGGAATATTCTAATAGGTCGTTTCTATTATTCCATAGTGAATAATATTTTAGCTTAACTTCTTTGATTAAATGATCATCAGAAATATGTATCCTTTAAAAGTAACATATATTGTTTCAAATTGTATGTCAGAAATGCATTCTAATTTAATTTGTAGTGGATTTCAAATTTATTCTTGATTTATTTCTCTTATTGTTTAAATTAATTACATGTCTGAAAACATATATTGTGTAAAGAGGGGTCACAGTTTTGTATATCTTATTGTATACTAGTGTGCAAAAATTAAGCAGCAAACTCACTTTTCAGCATTCAGCCATGAATTTGTTGAAAAGGGCTTTTTTTTTTAAATCAGTACATTGAAAAGCCAACTCAGTATAGAAAGGTGATGCATGTGTAAATATTAGCACCGTGATGTTAGAGGTTACATCAGGACATGCAAAACACAGTGCAAGGCAGCTCAAAAAGAAGACATATTTCCAGGCATTCTTCTGCAGGTGAAAGTGAGATTGCACATGCAGTATAGCTGCAAGAAAACATCAGGACACTGTTACACATGGTAGAACAATTGGCAAACTTGAGGAGGAGCGTAGTTTGACATCTATCGCCCAAACTTTGTTATCAATAAAAGTGTTTGTTTGACAGACACAGCTATAAGAAAGGTTCGTGGTGGTCAGCCAAGGAAAACAACAGTGACTGAGGATCAATATGTCACCCTGCAGGTGAAAAGAGATCGAAACCAAACAGCAGGCAATATTGATCAGCAGTTACATTCAGCAACCAGATGACAGGTGTCCCAGTTTATTGTGACCAAACAACTTTATGAAAATAGCCTATTCACCCATCATCTTGAACACTGCATATCATTGACATTAGCCCATCGATGGCACTGTTTACAGTTGTTTAAAGAACGTAAACATGGCATCTCGTCAATGCTGTCACATCCTGTTTATTGATGAGAATAATTTCAGTCTGACAAAGGATTCTCAGTGCTAGTTAATATGGAGAGAGGTAGGACATGCTTTCATCCGACTAATATTGAGATGGTCCTGGCATGCTTGTATGGGAAGGAATAATAATGAGTGGATGGATAGAGCCACATTTTTGACTGAGTTTCACTTACTGAAAATCATTACTGTGATGAAGTTATCCTCCCCTCACATGCATCTTTTCTGGGATGCCAATAGTCCTGACTATGTTTTTATCGATGATAATGTATGCAGTACTCGTGCTGTTGAGGAGCTTCAATATTCGCAGAATGGATTAGCCATCGTTCTCCACTGAGTTAAATCCTATTGAACCTGCTTGGGATATTTAAGGGAGATGCCTAGCAGCATGATCTTATACTATGGAGAACACCAGACAACTGAAACAGATTCTCCTTGAAGAATGGGAACTCTTACTCCAAGAACTGTTAGATAATTTGATGTTCAGTATCGACAGGTAGTACAACGTAACCATTGAAGTTAGGTGAGATTGTATCCCTAACTAAGACTCTTTGGTTTGTTGTTTTCACTCTTGGCCAGGCAGTTGTTTGTACCAATCATTATGTGTATAAAGTCCTTTTCTCTTCATTCCATACTGTATGTGGCCTATTCACTTTTGTTATTTTTTGCTACAGTCAAAAGTCATTAATCGGGACTTCTGCGATTCCGGTTTATCGATTTTTCCGGATTATAGATCATCAGTTTAAATCTGGTAAGATGGCATGTAGAAATTATAAAATTAAAAATATGAAACTGTAATTTATGATATAAAGAACAATTATGATCTAAAGGGTATCAAAATTTACCAAAAAAAAAAAAAAAGAGCTTAATATTTTTGTTTACTTTATTAAACATTTCTTTCAATGTAAGTTGTTTAAGTTGCTTCATTTTATGTGATAATACTTTCTCTTTAATTCTATAAACAGACATAATTTTTTGTTCAGTTACAAAGTTCCGCTGTTCAAGTCCTATAATTGTTGTATCGAGAATACCGACTAATTTGTCAATAGAAATTTTTTCGTTTTCAATAACCTCTGTGTCACTTTCTTTACTATCAGAAACGAATTATAATGACGAGGAATTTGATTTAAATCATATCAAAGACGGAGTACATCTAGATGAAATACTACATTTAGTAAGGAATTATAAGCCAAATAAAAAAAAAATCTGCCTTGAAGATAAGGATAGTGCTGACAGATCAACTTCCAATTCATTGCGCGCCGCGGCGTTCCCCCCCCCCCCCCGCGCCGCAGAGCAGCGTGGAATTGATAAACAGATTTCGGAATGGTTAGAGAAACAAAGGATATGCCTTTATCCACTTTTTGCAGCAATTCCACTTTTTGATGGACATCGAAACATACTTTCGCTTTGTACATCCTTTGGGAGCTCCAGCATCGGAAATTCTATTTGACATAATCGAAAGTTCAAGCTTACTTTTATAAAATTGCCCTAACAGGCTGCAAAAAATAATAAGCTGGATCCAATTCGAAGTTTAAGGAACAACGCAATCTGCAACATTAACTGAAATAGATAATTAGATAATTTTAGCTTATACCATCCATTATACATTAAACGTGCATGCGTAAACGTATTATGCGCAGCCGTAAAGGTCAACGCGACGCATGCGCAGAAAGTTTGTAGCTTTGAGGTCCGGATTATAGATCATTCCGGATTATAGGTGTCTGAATTAACGACTTTTGACTGTATTGTACTATTCTCATTTTTTAAGTAGTACATTGTGCATCTGTGGTATGAATTTGACGTATCCCAATTGAGGTTTTGCAAAATTATGGTCAAAATCAGAAACGTTTCATAAGTTTTGCACACTAATGTAGTTAGTTGATTCAGCAAATTCAATTTGCATTTTCTTGTCTTGAAAACATGATATTGAATATTATACATATATATTAAATCCGTATAATTTTAATATCTACATCCTGTTTTTTTTTATGCGCAGACTTGAGCTTTTCCTGAAATGACATGCTGATTTATTTTCTATATTTTTTTATCCCTCCTTTAATAACACCAAACACAGACTTTCCTTTCACCTTTCTACCCATATTATACTTTCTTTTACCAAATTTTCTGTCATCAATCTTCAGAATCACTCTGTGACAACCATTCATTTCAACCTTTTTCCTACATACATCCATTAACACTTCTGTGCAAAAATTCCTCCAGTCAACCACATTTTTATTTACCTCATTCATAAGCAGATTTGTTTCAAAGATCATACACCTGTGGATAGGAAAATATTAAAATATAATAATAATGATATTCCTCTTGGCTTTCTTCGAACTGTCTACCCTTCATTACAAATCTCGTACAGTGATTAGTATTGGCACTTTTCTCTTGGCAAACCCACTAATAGCCATCTGCTTAATTCATAGCTTCTGGTGCAGAAAAGAATGCGTCTCGAATGCTCTCTTGGTGCCAAATATTGCCACTGCTTTTCTGGTAACCCCTAAATGTCTCTGTTTTTCCATTGTTATGGCAACCTTTTTTTTGTTACATGATTGTGTATTTCTTAGGTTTAATCTGACTAGATTTTCTTAGCTTAGCAGTTGAGGTATACATGATACCTAGAATGAGTATCACATACTGTGCCCTAAGTATTTTATAATTTAATCGCTGCTAACTGACTGTTGGTTTTCATTAATCGGGTGTAAGTTGTTCTTAATTGATTGTTGTTCCATCACTTCCACAAAGAACATGTTCTAATAAGGTAAATATGATAAATGCTTTGACAATGGCACATGCAGTTCTTTAATATAATTCATGTAGACCTGGGGCAAATCCTCCTTTTGATCATGGTACCCTAGATGCCACAGAGATTCAACAAAGTAGGAATAAAAAAATTCAGCTCCTGGTTAATCTGGCTGCACCTGCCCTCAGTTGTAATGGGCATCAACCAATTCAGAGTCTTTATACATCATAATAGTTCATTGACAAATGTTTAAAACCTTGATTACTGAAACAATCATATGATTTCTAACAGTTGGGGATAATTGTGTTTCCAGGCAAGATTTCCTGAGAAATCAAGTCTAACAAAGCCTCTTTTGTGCACAAACTTTTATTCCACAAACTAAAAAAAAAAAAAAAAAAAAAAAAATTATAAAACATCTTTCACTTCCTCTTATCAATACCACCAAACACCCACTTTGTCCCTTTGGAGACAAGTATGTCATACATGCTTAGGTCATTAACTGTATCACAAAGCCGGGTGTGTCATATATGAATCGCCATTTAAATCGACTGTTAGGATGGGTGTACCATATGTGAATTTTATGTAGAACATTGAATGAGCAAATTTTTTTCCCTTAGTAGATGCATCCCTATATCTGTTATGGTTGAATTTATGGAGACTGAAGATTGTTAGCCTTCATTCATTTAAAATCAAAGTGGAAACCATGGGTTGAGTAATGTGAATAAGCAGAACTGGCTATTAAGTTTTCAAATTCATTCTGACAACTGCCTGTGTACTCCTCTTATAATGTGCCAAAAATTAGAACACTTGGACCACATATTCAGTTTATGCCAGTTTCTTAGCAATGCAAATTGCCTATCCCAGCAAGACAGTGCATCTTGTCAGCATGAGAGCAATTTGGTGACTGAGGTGCCCATTGTAAAATTCACCTTTCTACTTTTATTTCATCTGATTCGATATCTCTAATCGATCCTTACGCTCGGCCAGATGCATATCTTTCATACAAACTGTGCATTCATACTAAGCACTAATTAAACCTTTATTCTCACACCAGTCAATAATAGCTTTCTTCCCTTTTTCTCTGTAGAATCACCATTGGAAATGGAAGCAAGGAAGCTGCCCAACTGATATTACTTCTCCCCCCCCATTTTACTGAAAATAGATTTGATCCTACAGAAACTCATGTACACAATTTTTTAGACTCAGCTATAAATGCATGAAACATAGTGAGATAAGCTGTTAAGGAAAAAAAATAAATAAATAAAAT